GGATGGCCGTGCGGTGAAAATAGATGCAAAGAAAAGAAGCCATTGCGAAAAAAAAAAGGACCTATTTGCTCTTGGCGCGTCTCTTTGCACCGTCGAGGCTCTCCACGCCCGTTGCAGCAGATTCACCCTCTCCAGTACCGGTGACATCCACCGCCTTGCTACCCTCGCCGGTCTGACTCGATCCATCGTCTCCCACATCCTGTCGCGAAGAAGCGAGTACTTCATCGACAATTCGCTTGCCCTCGTCGACCGCGCCATTCATCGCATGGCAGCCCATACAGCGCCAGACGCCCAGCTCGGCGAGGCTCCGCGTTCCCGGCGGCGCCTGGCCGTTGACGAGCCGGCACGATTGACAGAGAAGCACGATGCGGTTTTTAGGTTGCGTCTCGTCTTCGCCAAGAAGAACGTCAAAGACACGGTCGTACCAGTGTGTCTCAGCGGGGCCTGGAGTATAAGAGGCGACTTGAGGTTGTGCAGGAGGCGGGGGGTGAGAGAAGGCGTTGGGAGCGAATTCTGCCCCTGGTTCGAGGGTGCTAGACGCTGGAGAAGAGGATGTAGAAGCGCGAGGCCCAGTATTTACAGGGGCACGAGGCTGGATATTGGCGGTCGGTGGAGGAGGAAGACGTGTGCGGTTCGGGACGTCGGTGTGCGGGGCGTGGAATTGAGACTGTTTGCCGTCTTTGTTGTTACTGCTGTTGTTTTCGTTGTCGAGTCGGGCGCCATCGTTCTTCTTCTCGCCACCGTACTTTTCGATCAATTCCATGGTTGAGTCGTACTTTGTGGCATCCTTGAGTTTCTGTATTGTCTTGGCGCGCTGTACCTGCTGACTTTTCAGGCGCTTGCTCAGAGAGTCGATGTAGAATTTGAAGTAGACTCCTATGAGCTTGCGCGTGAGGATAATACTGGTGAAGCGGATATAGTTAGCTTCTCATTGGGGTGCGAGGAGGCAATGGAGAGCGCTCACAAGACAGGGCCGCCGGCCATGCCTGCCCACTCCAGGGCGCCCATGTTCCCGTACTTTACAACGACAAGCTGGATAATGGCGTAAACAAGGTATGCGAAGCCTAGGTAAAGAACTAGGAGAAGTTTGATGCGACGGGCGCTGGCGCGAGTCTTGTCAAGCGTCGTCTGGGTCGTGGTGATTTTTGAGGAAAGCGCCGAGAGGGTCTTTTCAAACGAGGCGGGAGACGTATCATCGCTCTATGAGTGGGTTAGGGCTTAAAGAATTTGGTAGCAATGGACGGCAACAGAATCGTACTCTCCATGGCCAGAAGGAGACCATCTTGGTATAGAAAGCGGGCAGCCTTGGGCGGACCCGGCGTGGTCGTTGAAGAGGAAGCTATGAAGAAGCAGAGTAGAAAGAAGGAAGCGTCAAAAAGATGAACGAATGGAAAAAAGGAGTGGCAAGCGACAAGCAAGCCTTGCGCAGTGTTGGGCCCAAATTCCGTGAGGTCGCAATGTAGGCGTGGCTTTTGTTGGAGAAGCGGAATACTAGCACGCAGTGATGAGCTGGCCAACAAGCTTGCCTGCTGTCGTTGTGATCTGGTGGGGAGGCAGACGAAATCCAACGAGTGGAGCTGGAATAGGAAGGCGGTCAAGGCGGCCGAGGTTGGCATAGATCATGTCTCTGCTTTCTTTTTCCTTGTTTTCTTTGGAAACAATATTTCTTCTTTCGACAATTATTAAATCCGCTTTTTTGGACCCGCTATCTAGATCTGCTCGAAGGCAGGGGGAGGGGGGTTTCTCATAGGGTGCTTGAGATTTTCCTATCGAGTCCATCACCTTGTAATTCATAATTCTACATTCATCTGGACCCCTATAACACAGGTATGCTGAAGTTGTCACGCCAAAAAACAGACGCCTGCCTCAACAGCGCTCCAAGTTCGCACTGGAAGAAGCACTAAAGTTGCCATTGAAGGTCACCTCGACCCCTGCGATAGGTAAGCTAGTAATTATGGAAAACTTACCAGACAACAGTGTAGAGTAAGGCAAATAGCTGTTGTTTTTACTAAGCGAATTCTCGCAATGATTAAATCATCATATAAGTATACATTTAACAGGGAATTTCGCAGTCCTGGAAAGTTCCATCACCCGACGGACCAGCATAGGACTCGGTCTTGCATCCGTCGTCGTGGAAGTCGACATGGTTGGCGCCGTAATCAAGATAGCCGTCCTTCATGTTGTCATTCGTATGAATGCTATGCAAAACTTAGTCAGTCATTTGCGCCTTGTTTCTGGTTGCATCTCAAAAACTTGCCACAAGCTATAAGGAAGCCCAGACGGGTAGCAGTGATCATTCATGACGTATCGGCACTCATCACTGAGCCGCTCCTTGTTGCCATCGGCATAAGTGAGTTCAGCAATGCAGGCCAGAGAATTGTCACCTCCGGCAATTGGGTTCTTATGTTGATGCTGGTTAGCTCAGGCGAATGCGACTTGACCCAGTTTGGGCGCTTGGTGACTTACCTGTCCACGAGCAAACCCAACACGGAACCTGCATGTGCCGTCACGCTGCTGAACAGCAGCACCCAGTGTAGTAGAGACTGCCGTAGCAGCAATTGCAATAATTTGAAACTTCATTTTGAATGGAGAGGCCTGTATGATGACTTGTAATGCTTTGTGGTTTCTTTTCGTCGATCCCGCACCGACATTTCCAAGCCGTAGATGCCTGCCAATTTATATCTACGATGCACCCATGGAATTGGGAAGAACTTGGACCTTTACACACTCTCTCAATATACAATCCTCAGTGATGTCACAACCGCGCGCGTCAAAGGCTTTTGAGTTCGTTGCAGATGCCCCTCCTCCCCACAGCCTTGCTCATTTGCCGTAGAATGCCGGAAGATCATCGTCACAAAAGCCAGGCCTGCCCAGCAAGTCATCTCAAGCAGGCCACTTTTGATTGATCGGGATCATTAGGATAACAGTACCCACAACTGCATTTAGACTTGGCACTATGGTTATACCGGGAACGACTGCCTAGGTCTGACTGCGCTTACTTGTATGCGTCATCTCACTCAACAAGCTCCACCGCCATTGTGTGCAACTGAAGATAGAACGAATATGAATGAGCACCAAATCGGGCTTAATGCGGGTTCAAATGTCTCAAAACACCGAGATCCACGCCGTACTTGCTTCGACATCCCGACTGATGCCTGCTCAATGACCTTTCCCGCCAATTGTCGACCAAATCACGGAGGCTTGGCGACAAGGCCGCCGTAAACGGACAAAGAAGAACAGTAACGAGGATCTCCAACATGACGTGCTGTAAGATTTGACCTTGGGTTCAACTATCGACGCTAGTGAGCCCATGGGGACGGCTTTTGGTATTTGCAGCTTTGCAAATGATATGAGTGACGTGAGGCGTGGCATTCACATGCAATTTCTCCTCCTTTATTTACGGTCACTCCCGACCACGCTTCAAAATGGTGACTGGGGCATTTCGGCTGGTCGGTCTTTAAAGGCATTGACCAATTGCACGGGCTCTGACGTCCAACTTCCCAGAATTTCTGCCTCCATTGCAACAGGTTAACGCGGAACGCTCTGGTCTCATTGGTGGGCCAAGAACTGGGGAGCAGTAAATCTCAAGTCCAGACGGGTTAGAGACCAAGCCGGACATTTTTTTTTTAAAAGTGGTGACGAGGCATTGCAGATGCGCTACAGGTCCTCTACATACGGTACAGAGCCAGTCAATCAACAGCTAGTTAAGCAAAAGCCAGGCACTATTAACTAGCTACTAATTTACTAGCTGCTAATTAACTATTGAAGGTGTGAATTAAGACTGGCTACTAACTAACACCTATTATGAACCTATATAACTAGGGCCAAATTCACATCAATGAAGGTATGGATCCGCATTTTTACTACGACACCTATAGCGTATTAATAAAGACCTGCAATTTAGCAGTAATTTTCTGCTACTCTTGGACCCGCTTGGACTTGGCCTCTGACCCCTCTGGACTTGAGGTATACTACCTGCTAGTACTGCATGTAGTCTAGTCGTTAACCAAGTAAAAAAGAGGTTGTAGATTGCTTCAGTAACCTCTTTAACATAGGGTTAGGAGTCGACTTGCGTATGACAAACAAAGAAGAGAAATAAAAGTGAATGACCGAGAGCTAATGTTCGAGCAAAAATCGAGATTCCTAGGAAGAAAATACCGACTGCGAAGCCATCAATGGTGGAGATCACAATGAAGTCGATTTGTTGAAGAGAGGGTTTCTCAAAGAGTCCACTTAAAGTAACGGGGTTTTTATAGCTATGAGAGATGATTAAGGATATATTGCAGTTATAACAGTTCACGTTGTTGGGGAGCAGCGTCTGTCTTCGACTACCACTGTTTTTCGCGACGAGGGCTGGTTCATGCAGTTTCAAAGTCGGAGACCGCGATCGCCAGAGAATAGGTATCTCAACATTACTCGGAATACTAATTCCACCATGGCCCAAACTGTATTCTTTTCTCTAAACTGCCATGCCCGAAACTAGTGACCTTCATCGATGGAGACGCCACAGCTAAAACATCTAAAGACTTGTCCTCGAACTCGGGGGTTGGTCGACAGGGTTCGTGACCGTAGTACTGTATCTGAGTTAAGAGGTGACTCAATCGCATAATACTGAGGGCTGTTGCTTGTTTAGGTGAAGTGAACTGTATCAGAGGAGAATGATTGAGGACTTTCCTTGTTAGATGAGGCAGCCCCAGATCTTAGTCACTGTCTGACGTTTTAAACCGAGCGGAATGAAAATGATAGCGCTAAAAAAACAACGGATTCGCCCTAACCACCCCAACAATTTATTGAATCGTGCCTATAACGGTATGATACTGACACTGCTTTAGTTATATTTACTAGGGGCTACGAGTTAAATATAGAAGGTGAGGCTACTCGCTCGGTATCATTGAACTATGGCCCCTGGCTTAGTCTAGAACTGTGTATGACAGAAGGCGACAGATTCCTACGCTCGGTTCAACAATTCCGTTTGCAGATCTAACAAGAATCGTCTCCATGCACCTCTTAATCCTGGCGACTGGAATCTGCCGCTGACTCGCAACTCATAGGGCCTTTGTTTTTCCTGTGAAGGTGTGACCGTCTCGTGTAAATCGGTGAAGGTAAGGCTGCAAAACCAGCCTTGGGGGCGGTGACTTGTCAATTTCTAGTCATTTTTGAATGACAACCTAATGCAGAGATAAGTCGGAAATGTATCGTCGCTGTTTCAAAGCCGAGGGAGGACTTGTCGCAGATTTGGTATGGAGTCGTTTCTCCACGACTCCACGACTACCCGACCCCATATTAGGGTCTCGGACGTGGAGAAGGATGCTATCGTTCCTTGTGGTAGTTTATTGTGTTGATTGTAGTCTTATTCGGCTTTGGGTTATTTGGCTCCACCTGTGGAATTCTTCGGCCTAGCGGCTTCCAGGCTCACTAAACCATTCACCTCCTCTTCAGCGTTCGAATAGTACATTGCTAGGGGCTACGAAGGGCTTGATCAGCCTATTGATATATAGATTACCGGTATTTCCAGTTCTTACATGCTCTTTTGCCGCAGGAGTTTCTTGCGCGCCAATCGCTGAAGGAATCTAATCCAACTTAATCGCCTCAACGTCTCGAGATTACAAACAAGTTAAGCCACTACACGCTAGCCAAGGAATGTGTTCTAGCGTAACGGGAAAAGTGACAGCGCTACCTACTAAGGCGTTGATTAATCAGCTCATTATAAACAGCGAAACCGGGAAAAGAATATTGCTATGTTAAGACTGAGTTAATTAGTGGAAAGGCGATACACTAGAGCCTACGGAACGTAGAAACCCGAGCCTGAAGTGAAACTCACCCGCCTATCACGTCTATGCAATACATGATGAGAACATCCAAGATGTCTTATGTTACGAAGTCATGACAGAAAAGTGTCTTCTAGAAATTCGTGAAAAGCGCCCATGACAGTCGTTTCAATCCATAGAATAGCTATCGACACGTTCTATACTAGGGCCTAATCATAGGACGAAGCCACAGTATCGAGAAGATAATTGGCTGCCTTTACAGACTTGGCTATGTTTGCGATGTTTGAGTTATGTCTCTTTTATTCTCCGGAAGAAGGCTACCTTGAAACGTTAGCGTAGTCATAAGTGTGGAACGACGGACTTTAAGACTGACTTTTCAACAAGCTTATTTACCAGACGAGAATAACATAAGAGGACAACTTAGCTACTTATACGTAAGTAAGACTCTGAAATTATAAAAATTAAAGAGATAGGTTAAACCAAGATCTTATTACGTTCTACTTAAAATATTTCAGTTATAAAATCGCAAGTTAGTAAAGTCGGCGAGAGTTAGCCGCTAAGTTTTTAGACACCAGTCGGGAGTCCCCGACGTTTTACAACACTACACACTGGACGCTGATCTACTTGCTAAGTGGAGTCATGACTTAGATTTGGAATCGATTTAAAGTATTCGGGACAGTATTCGGGACGGAGTGGCAACTAGTAATGTATATAGGGGCTGCAAAGACTGAAGCATGTGTCTGAAACACAGGTATCAACCGGAAGCATTACATCTTGACCAAGATCTTCACTGCAACCCGACTAAGTAGTTGAATTTGAAGTGGAAGAAATACTTTAAATAGCAACTATACCTCCCGAGCCAGCGCAGCAGAATATTTCATCAGCACTTACACAAAGAACAAGCGACTCCTTGCATTTTCAGCTCCGGACAGCTGCTGGTTATCTCAGTAAGCCGAAGAACTCATGCCGTTGAGTATAGATTCTCGACTAACATTCGAAAGATCCTCTCAAAACACACATAAGCCCCCATAATGAAGACATCTTTAATCATCGGAGCCCTTTATGCTGGCATAACGGCTGCCGCTCCCGCGCGCTCACTCGCAGCACGAAGCTCAGCATCTGACGAGGGCCTTGCACTCCTTCTCAATGCCATGTCCCTGAGACCACTTGAGGACAAGGCCGCAAGTGCCTCCACCGTGAAAATCCTCGCCGAGAACTTGGGAGATATCTTCAAGGGTCCGCTGAAAGAGATTCTCGAGGGTCTAGATATCGGCGGTCTGCTGGAAGCTTGCAAGCCTGCTGCTGGCGGTGAA